AAAAATTTATTTTCCTCTTCCAAAGCATGAATTTTTGCCTTAGCCTCTTTGGCAATTTTTGAAGATTTCTTTAATTCACCAAATAATTCTTGAAAGGCTTCTTGTAATTCTTCAAATGAGAAAGATTTAGAAGCACTTACCTCTCCATTTCGTTCATGAGCCATAAGACATAACGTGGCAGTTTCATCACCAGAACTTTCCGAATCCCATGCCATGTATGCTCGTTCCTTCTTTTTCTTTTCCTTGCGGTTTGGGCAATATGGCTTTATGTGGCCATGTAACGCCCCGAAATCTGGCCCAAAAGAATTAATTAAATTGTTAGAGCAATTGATTACGAATTGGGCCCAAAAAGGGGTTAAAATTATAATTTGGATTCTAAGCCCAACTTTTATGTCATCTCGTAGGAAATATTTTTGTGATCGCGTCGGTTCAGACGGCTCGCGAATCGGAGTTTTGGAGCTCATGTTATGACCATTTAATCAGGTATTTTGGGTCCGAATCCCAATCCTTTGAGGAATGGGATCATTAAATAAAACTTAAACCTATTATCTTCCGTCCTCCGAGAGCCGCACGATCGGCATCCTCATCTTCATCTCCACCTTCGTCGCTCTCGATCGCCGCCGTGAGCCAGCCGCCGGTCATCCTCCCTGCTGTTCGACCACGCCCGCGTCGCCCGCGTCACCCGAGCCAGACGCTGCTCATCGCCGGTCGCCCTTCCCCAGACAATCGCCGCCGCTGCTTCCTTCGCCAGAGGTCCGCCGCCAGCATGAGCGCCGCCGCCGACGGTTCACCTCGTCGTTCTGCCGGTCGTCGCCTCCACTACCAGCGTCGGTCGTCCTCGCCATCGAGCTGCAGCGCCGCTGTTTCGCCTTCGCCGGAAGTCCGCCGCTCATCACCGTCGAGCGCCGCCAGTCGCCTCTAGCCGTCGCCCTTAGCTCAGGTCAGTTTCTTCTTCTTCTTCTTTAGTTTCCTATTTCGGTTTGTCTCTATCCCCTCGATTTTGAACAAGGTAGACCGCCAACAGCTGCCGCTCCGCCACTGTCGCCGGCGTCCGTCACCGTCACAGCATCCAGCCGCTGCCCCGGATTGATATCGCCGGCAAATTAACCTCCACGCCGGATTGATTGGTCGATTTCGTATTTTGACTCAATTTGACCCGTTCGTTTGATTTCGTTGATTTGTCTTCCGTTCGAGCTATCGATTCGATTTCGGCGTAATCCAGGTCCGTACTATGAAGTTAATAGCGTTTAGAATAGATTTAATGGTTTGGATCGTTATATGTGTTTATGCTATAATTTGGCTAAATTAGTTAATTGAATTAAATTGATTATTTGAATTGAATTGTTGAGGATTGTGAATTGACTGAACAGGTTTGACTTTGACTTGGGTTAGGTCCTGTTTGACTTGGGCTTTGACTGGATATTCTGTTGACGAAGGTTTGACCTAATGGTTAAATCCAAGACTTTATTGAATTAATTAAGTTAATTAATTAATTCTAATCAGTAATTAGGATCAATTGGTTTATTATGTCGAACATAGAAACTGGCCATTGCTCGGGCGGTTGTAGGGTCTGGTCAGTGAGGTTAAGACGTGCGCACGAGGGTCTGTGATCTTGGGTTTGAGGCTATCGCTCGAGGGATCCTACCTCCACCGAATTGAGGCTATCTTCGGTATTACGGATTGAGGCTATCTCCGTCATAGGCATTAAATGTTAAGTGGTTTGACTTTCGTGAAAGTCTAAATTGGTTTGACCGGTGGTCAAAGAGTTAATGAGGAATCCTTGACACCTAAATCGTTTTGAAAAGAAAGAAAATAAGTTGACTGTTGGTCAACCGTCTAAAGAACCGAATGTAAAGTTGATTTGATTTTTATTAAAAGGGTTAACATATGCGCGATCTTAGTCATTGAATTATTATGTTTATTCTTGTGCTACAATGGAGTTCCACTCAGCGTCAATGCTGAGCGGATAGCGTTGTTTTCCTTTTTGCTGTCCGTAGGTGATCAGACAGATGAACCTAGAGCCGATCCCAGAGGGCATTGAGGAGGAGATGTACGATGGCGTGGCTGCCTCTTTAATCTGTAGTTATGCTTTATTTAATTAACTTTAATGCTTATTACGTTTTCGGGCAAGATCCCAAGTTGTTTGACTTTAAAAAGGCTTCTGCATTATTTTAAATTACTCTGATGGATTTTTATATGTATTGATAGAACGTTTGTTTAAAATTGTTTTAAAAATGTTGTTTATTCGGATACCAATCCAGTGGCACACCGGTCCGCTGTCTCACGGGTTTGGGTTACGCGGGTTGGGGTGTTACATTTTGGTATCGGAGCATTTGGTTTTAAAATCGGTCTTTGGACCCTTTCAAAATAAAACACAATGAATAATTCAGCCGCATCTGCATCTCACGTAACTCCTCTGCCCCGGGAAGGTAATAAGTATTTATAGCTTTATCTGTTATATGTTAAGATCTGACCTGGGAATTTCCTTATTATTTTAGAATGAGTCAAGAATCGACTCATGGTCAGTACGTTCCGGAGCCGGAGCACGTGAGCGTGCACACGGTGAACACCGAGGGTTCGAGTTTCACGCCTCCGGGTGACGGAGGGCAGCAGCAGAATCAACCTGAGCCAGCGGGACAGCCACCAGCTGTACCACCGCCAGTCGTACCACCTCCATTGATGCCACCGTTGGTGATGCCGCAGGTGGCCTATGAGCAGATGTTCCCAGCCATCTTGGCCCATTATATGCAGCACATGGCGCAGCTTATGCCCATGTTCCAGCCACCGCCACCACCACAGCCTCAGCCGCGCATCGTTACCTTCAAGACATTGAAGGATAATGGAGCGGAAGTGTTTCGAGGAGACAAGATGGGGGAGCCCCAGATTGCGTTGGATTGGCTTGAGCAGATGGATCGGGTACTCAAGAATTTGAGAGTCCCAGATGCTGATCGCTCGGAGTTGGCGTCACAGATGTTCCGGAAGGGAGCATATGATTGGTGGAAGCGCATTGACCAGGATCCACACACGCCCAAGCCATGGACCTGGGATCGCTTTGATCGAGCTTTCACGAAGGAGTACGTCCCCACCCGGTACCGCTAGGAGAGGCGCGATGAGTTCGTTGCGCTTAAGCAGGAGGGGATGTCACTGCTTGAACTGAGACAGAAGTTCGACTACCTGTCCCAGTATGCGACGAGTCTGGTCTCCACTCCGGAGGATCGTTTGAATGAGTTCGTCAAGAAGCTACGGCCGGACTTGAGGCCGTACGCCGCGCTGATCACGACGACAGATTTTAATGCGGCGTATGATTTGATTGTGAAGACAGAAAAGAGCTTGGACGATTTGCAGGCAACCAAGAAGGAGGATCGAGCGACGAAAGACCCGCGACCCGCGGCCAGCACCGGGCCGAGCGGGAATAGTTTCGGATTCGGGGGAAAGAGGTACGAGAAGGGTTCTTCGAGTGCGCCGCCGCCTGAGAGGAGTAAGTCGAAGCCGTCTCCATCGGCCGCTTCTAGCAACTCGATCAGAACGAGGAGCCACCCGCAGTGTGTACAGTGTGGTAGGCATCACCCGGACGAGTGTTGGCTCGCCCAAGGCTTATGTTTGGGTTGTGGCCAGCTAGGGCATTTCAGGAGGCATTGCCCGACAAACCCTAGCAGCGAGCCTGTTTTTCCTAGAGCTCCGGATCAGCCTGCCACATCACATCCAGCACGGAGTCAGCAGTCTACAGTAGCAAATAATCAGCAGAGACCACGTCCGCAGCAGTCAGGCCGGGCACCAGCGCGTACCTAAGCCATGCAGGGGCGCACAGATCCTAGTCCCGATGTTATCTTGGGTACGTTCATACTATTTGATTCGGTTATGCATGCCTTGATCGATCCGGGTTCCACGCTCTCCTATATATGTGTTGGCATGCCTGCTAATCCTACGATCGTGAGGAGTGACCTTGAGATACCTACCGTTGTATCGAATCCGCTAGGACATAGCATGCGTCTTCATCACATTTATCATAGGTGTCCGTTGTCCGTGCAAGGGAAGCAATTCCCTGCAGATTTGATAGAGCTACCACACAAGGAGTTTGACATTATCCTTGGTATGGATTGGCTCACCGAGCATAGAGCAGTGGT